TAACATGGCATCATTGACAACATTGGATGTTTGAAAACATTCGGACTTATTATGTAAAAACTACATATTTAATGGTTTGGACAACACATTATACAATGTGTATAGTTCCATGAAATCTGCAAAGGAACTATGAGAATTCTTGGAGAAGAAACACAAGACTGAAGACGTCGAAAGTAAGAAGTTCATTGTGGGAAAATTTTTAGACTACAAAATAATAGATTCAAAGACAGTCATCAGTTAAGTACAAGAATTGCAGGTTATTCTCCATGATATTCGCGCCAAAAATATATCTCTAAGTAAATCATTTCAAGTAACTTGAAGAAGATAACCGAAATTCAGACAAGCATGTTAGGAGTCATATACTACAAGCTGAAGGTAATGTGGTGGAATCAAATAACAAGAGCAAGAAAATGAAGCATTCCATCAAACCCCACAAAAAGAATGCAAAGAAGTTCAAAGGCAATTTCTATAATTGTGGAAAGGCTTGACACTGCTCGATTGATTATCGTAAACCTAAGAAGCAAGCCCAAGCAAATAACACGGAATCTGATGCAATATCTCATGGTATATCAACTATAAATTTGTCGTTATTACAAACTACAACAATGTTGGAAATCTCATGGAATGGTGGGTGGATACGGGTGCTACCCATCATTTTTGTGCCGACGAAAGCATGTTCTCATCCTATACCCCAGCCGACGGTGAGAAGTTGTTCATAGGATGCTCTTCAAGTTCAAAAGTGGAAGCACAAGTCAAGGTTTTTGAAGGTGACATCGGGCAATGAACTTAGCCTTAACAACGTTCTTTATGTGTCGGATATCGGGATCTTTGTTAAGCAAAAATGGTTTTAAATTTGTCTTTGTATGTGATAAGTTTATACTTATCAAGAATAATTTGTATCTAGGCAAAAACTATGTAAAAAATGGACTATTCAAGATGAATGTTTTTACCATTGTACCAAATAACTCAAGAAATAAAATATCTTCTTCTACTTATATTTCTGAGTCATCTAATTTATGGCATCATAAATTAAAATATGTAAACTTTAGTTCTATATGTAAATTAATGAATCTAAGTTTACTACTGAGTATGCATTTTAATACAATTTTCTCCAATATCTACACATTTTATTGAATTTCAATTTTTTACGGTACATTATAAACACGCCAATCAAAATATATGTTAAATAAATAAACCCACAATTATTTTATAAAATATTACTCTATCTCAATTAAAGGGAAAAAAAAAAGAGTAAACCACATTCTTACCCCATCCCTATTTAACCACGTTGTTTTGCTAATGGTACATCACCATATACATAGGGGTGTACACCCTCCTCACATGGGGTTGGGATCCACTTGAATAAAAATTTATTCAAGTGGGTTCCAACCCCATGTGAGGGGAGTGTACATCCTTATGTACCTTTTTTGATGTATAAGTAGAATTATTATTAACCTCGTCATCCCCACAGGCGGGTTTATGGCTTGACTAGCTCTAGCTATAGCCGATGACATCCAGGTGCAATTCACATTTTCCCTTAAATTTTTATTTTATTATTTTTTTTT